TTGATAAACAGTGGCCATGGCTTTGACATTAGAAACACTCAAATGACTGTACACATTTTCAAATTTAATATTTCCACCTGTGACTGTGACATCCCTAATGTTTACATGACAACTGTGAGTGTCATATCTCCCTGTGACTGTAAGTGCAGCACATCCATTACACTTTACAGTTACATTGCTCAAATTTGAATGATTGCCTATACCATCAATGAGTATGCCAGAATCATTTGCAAGCCACCCGTCATCTACAACTACATTAGTGATGCTCATGTTACTGCCACAGTTCAATATTGACAACACAGAGTGCTCATTTTGATGAACAGTACTAGTGGCTTTGACATTGAAAACACTCAAATGACTGTATACATTTTTGAATGCAATATATCCACCTGTTACTGTGACATCTCTAATGTTTATGTGACAACTGTGAGTGTCATGCCTCCCTATAACTGTAAGTGCAGCACATCCATTGCACTTTACAGTTACATTGCTCAAATTTGAATGATTGCCTATACCATCAATGAGTATGAACCCAGCAAAATTTGTTGAAGCTATGACATTGTTTATTTGCACTGGAGCATTACTCAAATAGATAAAGGTTGTGTTGCTTTTATAAAACCTTGTGTTACATATTAAAATTTTAGAATTAATAGCTGCCAAACTACCATTGAAAAACATATCACATACCTCAATGTTATGATTGCCAATGAATGTTAGAAAGGTTAGATCTATTTCCAAATTTCTTAGTGTAACTGTGCGTGAATTTGCAATCACTATTGAAACATTAATCAGCTTTGCTTTCTCTTCACCAGCTCCTGAATTACCTCTGATGACTAAACTATTCAAATGATTGAAACCGAGTAGGTGATTTCCAGGTGGTAATACATGTACTCCTGATAAAAAGACAAGTTCTGTGTTTGAAGGAAATGAGAAATTAGAATAAAAGGGAAAGACATGACATTCATAGTTCGCAATTAAATGACAGTCACTATCATCACTAGCAACGTATAAGGTTGTGGTATGGTTGTCTAGATCTTGGGAAATGACAAAAGATACCAACAAAAACAAAATGATCTATAAGAAAGAGCTATAGTCACTCAATACAAGTCGATCTAACTTACTGCAATCATCATATCCACTTCAAGTAATAACAAAACTTTCGTGCACTTATTTTGTACTTAGGCAGTTCCGATAAAATTACTTGGTTTACGGATCCGACCGACTCCAATTTTTGGAAAATCAAAATAAATTTAAATTTTCTAATGCGCATGCGCAGTACCACGTGGTGGGTGTGGCTAGATTCAAAATGGCGCTAAATGTATTTGTTACTGTTAAGGCCACTCCAATAAGATTCCTTGTTTCCCATTACAGAGGCGGGGGTGATGCGGGCGGGCGGGCGGGTTCATTATTATTATTCATTATTAATAATAATTAATTCTTAAATCAATAATTTTTTATTATTCATTTTTAATGAATATTTAAACACTTGCAGTCTGCCAGTCTCAACTTATTGAGACTAAAATTACAAAATAGTAAAAGAAAGGTGCTAATAATTACAAAAAAGAAAAACAAGGCTAAACACTTGAAAATTAGGAGAGAAAAAGCACGGCTCTTGGTGAAAGAGGCTGGGAAATAATCATTTAGGTACTGGAGGTTTACTGCTGCAATCACTACATTGAGGAATATACGCAAATTGGGGCATACTTTGCTGAATAATACAGCTTTTCTATGCGTATTCTTATGGCGGACACTCTTCTTTCGAACATCAGCAGTC